ATATTTATATTATTAAGTTTTAATTGAAGTATATTCTCAAATTACATTAATTATACAATTTTAGAAAAATATTAATAAATTTTTGTTATATCGAATATCTGTGATTTCTTATATGGTTAAATTTCCGATCCTTAAGAAATAGAGCATCCTTGTATCATGATTTTGAAGAATTCTCACTTTTTTCATAATAACTTTATTTTAACAATTATTGAAGATGAAAATTTAACATTGAGTATCTAATCTTTTAATGAAAGACAATTTAATAGGTTTATATTAATTAAAAAGATAGAATTCAAAATTCAGAAGGTTAAATTGTAACAATTTAAGGTTCTGTCCTATTAAATATAATAGAAAAAACCCATTTTTCACCTTAAGATTCAACTTACTATTCGAAGTTTATATTTTAAGGCAACCTATATTTTTAATTTATTTTACGTTGTTATTTGCATAATCTATTTTAAAAAACTAAAGCATTCAAGCTTTCTTAAATAAATTAAATGTCATAATAATTTGCCCATAATTGTTATGATAATAAATTTAGATTATTTATTGCAAAATTAATCAACTTTATATCTGATCTTATTCTCATGAATGAATAGAAAAATTAATCAAAGTGTTATTCTCATAAATAAGTGTGTTATTCTATTACACTAGATGAGGAAATAAAGTACATTAAATTTAAGAATGGAGAAAGGATTTAATATATGATATATTATTTATGTGTAAGGTAAACTTGTTATTTGATTCTATAATTAAACATGAAATCAGAGCAACAAAAGTTGATTAAATTAGTACATTGTCAATAAATTATAGATTCATAATCTTGATATAGGAATTTAATATTATCATCATTATTAACTTGGGCTTATCTACTTAATCATATTTACAGAATCATGATTTTAATAATTTTATTTTATAATATAATTTAGAAAAAATAAAATAATATCTATAGAATATTCGGAATTTTATTTGATGATGAAATTTGTTAATTACCTATATATGGCTTTTATTTAAATGTAGAAAATTGAGGATAATATTTTGAGTTTAAAATTCATTTTTATAGCATTCAAATTATCTAGGTAACATATTAATTTATTCTTAAATGATATTTGTGTAACTAGTAAGAACAAGGAAAAAAAATAAATTTCCTAAAATTGAAATATAATTAATAGAAATTTCATTACTAATAGTAATAATTATTGTTGAGTTTCTTAAAGAGGATTAAATGATTATGAATTATTTAAAGAATAGAAAGTAATCTATTTAGGAAAACTTAAATTTTGTAAATTATTTAATTGTCCAATTAAGAATTGATAATGATATTATTATTATTGATCCTATTAAAATTTATTTTAAAAATTAAAAATCGATGAATTAAAATTCAGAATTATAAATAAAGTTGCGTTGCCAAATACTACTGTTGGAAATATTGAATTAATATTTTATAATTTACTATTTCAAATTTTAAAGAAAGTAATTTTTTAAATGAACTTAATGCATTTCTTTGTATAAATTTGGTTTAAATAGTTTACTATGAAATTTGATAAAGTTTGTTATTTTTTATATTTATATTTTATACTTAAATTTCCTAATCTAAACGATTAATGCATGCTTAACATAATGGAGGACAATATGAACATTTTGTACTTTATTCTGTTATGACTGATTTTTTGTAATAGTTTAATGGGCATACCTTACAATAAGTTTAGACTTGAGAAACACACTATAGACATTCTGGATCACAAACCTCATCAATTTTTGGCTATGGATTCAAAAATTAACTATAAACATTTAATTTAAGTTGAGGTACAAATTAAAGTACAAAACTTTGAATCTAGTTGACCTAATTTTGAATTAATTAAGTTTCAACATCAAATTCATCATTTTCGTAGCAATTATTATTTTCAATAATGTAATTTTTTTGGCACAATACACATTTGATTTATTTCTCAATATTAATTGTACAGTATTAACATTTTGATATTAGATTCTCACAATTTGAAATTTGAGGGGCAATAGAAAAATCATCATTTTTAGATAAAGTACACTGTTCCTTACTTTATAAGTTAATAAAAGATCTTAAACAATTTTTTATTTCAGGTTTCTAAAGTAAACATAATCCTAATGTAAAGTCAAAGATATAATCTTATTCACAAAGTGCGCAACCTTATTATACATTTGATAACCATATTAATACTAATTCAGATAAGTTCAACAATGAACATAAATCTAAATTCAGAGCAGAGTATTCAAAACAATAAATACAATTTTTGATTTCGCATAATTTGCATTAATTTTTAAATGAATGATATAATGGTGGTAAGCAGATAAGTTAATCATTTGAATAATTTTTTTCTATATAGATACAATTACCATCTATTAATGTAAAACCTTCGTCACATTTTACACATTTAAAGGATTCAATATTTATTTAACAAATTTAACAGGATTCTATAAAAC